AAAAAAAAAAAAAAGACTCAAAATAAAAAATAAAAAGAGCTGGGGATATAGCTCAGTAGCAGAGCACCCCTGGGTTCAATTCTCAGTACCATATACATATACACTCAAAAAAAGTGATTATGAAGTTTTTTTTTTAACTTTCCACTGTTGGAGCTAAATAATCATATGTGATCTTCTGTCAATAAGCACCACACATTTCCCTAAATTCATGTGCTATCAAGTCTTTTAGCCATTTGATAGAATAGAGTTTTATCATGCCATTGATCCTGAATAAGAACAAATTACAGGGCTGGGGTTGTGACTCAGTGGTGGAGTGCTCRCCTACCATGCATGAGGCACTGGGTTCAATCCTCAGTACAACATAAAAATAAAATAAAGATATTGTGTCCACTTAAAACTAAAAAAAAATTTAAAAAATAAAAGAACAAATTACATAAAACTGTGCTATTGCTACTAAAAAGTATTTAATACATTTGTTATTTACAGATTGTTTATGTGATGTGCTATAAAAATGCATATTGGTTTTATGAAAAAACTTTAAACATACAGTCTACATCATCACCCTTGTTTAGAGGATACCTTCTCATCCACCAGTGGAGGACATCTGACAGCAGGCAAGAACACTGCCCATAGGGACGTTTCTATTTCAATTTGTAACTTTCCACTCAATCATTCTCCTTGTGATTAAATGACTAAGTAACTTTAAGCTATGACATTAAAATATTTTTATTTTGCACAGCTTTACTTTAATTTTATGCTTAAAAAAAAAAAAAAAACTCCACTAATCTTAACTCTAAAGAGCAGTTTCCTATCTTACCTTTGATGCATGGGTTCTGGAGCCCAAATAGTGTAATCTTGCACATTCCCGAATGTAAGCAGGAGCCTGGGAAGAAGACAAAAGAATACCAGGACCAAGAGTTTAGTAGGACCTAAAATTCTTTCAAGTCCACAAAAAGACAATGGTTCTCAAAATTATCTGTTAGATGACTTTGGAAAGGCCAAAGATTGCACAAAATGCCTTATTCCGCAGCTTCCTTTCTCTTGCAACTGAAGAGACTCCTCAGTAAAATTGATGGGGAAACTATGAAAGACACTGATGTAGTTGTTGCTGTTTTAAMAATCAAATATGGCAAGAATACACTCAAGTGAGCCAGAAACAAACATATAAACATTTATAAAAATGCTTATATTTGATCAAAAAAAAAAAAATCTCCCAAATCCTGACAAATTGCAAGTGGTCTCCGGATCACATTTTAGAATCATGTATAGAAAATACCATTCAGGATTACTACAGAATAGAATTCTGTAACAAATACCCTGTTTACAGTCCAGGAAGAAGTGTTTAATTACAACCACTATTTTATTAAATGTAAACTAATATAATCACTATAGAGAAGGATACTACAATATCTAATAAAATTACATTTGCATTTACCCATTGTCCCAGAATCTCACTTCTGAGAATCTATCCTGAAGATGTAACTCCAGAAACATAAAGATTAATCAAATGGGAAATGGGGTCATGGCTCAGGGGTAGAGCATTCGCCCAGCATGTGCAAGGCTGTGAGTTCGATCCTAAGYACCACATAAAAATAAATAAATAAATATTATAAAAGTATTGTGTCCAAATACAACTAAAAAGTAAAACATTAAAATAAAAGATTAACTGAATGATTGGACACATGTGGGGTCTGGCAGCACACCCCTGGACTCCCATAGATTGTAGTGGCTGAGTCAGGAGGATCAAAAGTTCCAGGCCAGCCTCAGCAACTTAGGAGAGACCCTGTCTCAAAATAAAAAAAAATAAAAAGGGTAGGAATGCATTCACTGGTAGACTGCTTGCCTAGCATATGTGAGGACCTGAGTTTAATCCCCAAAACTGAAACAACAACAACAGAAAGATTAGATACAACCTAAATGTTCATTAATAGTTGGTGAACTTTCATAAATCCGTATAATGTGCTACTATGCAGTCATTAAATAAGAAAAGAGAGAAGATAGAAAAAGAGAGAGAAGAATGAAAAGAAAAGGAAGAGAAAAAAGGGAGGGAGACAAGCTGAATGGCTTTATGAAGCATATGGAGGAATTTCCAGGATCTACTGAGTGAGAAAAGTAAGGCACAGAACAGTATATGTGTAAGAAAGAAGGGGAAATAAGAATATAAACATGTATGTACATTTACTTTGTTTTTACAAAAAGAAACAGTAAGGCTGGGTGCAATGGTGCACACCTGTAATCCCAGGGAGGCTGAGGCAGGGAAATCACCAGTTCAAAGCCAGCCTTAGCAACATAAAGGCCCTCAGTAACTCAGTGAGACCCTGTCTCTAAATAAAATACAAATAGGGCTGGGGGATGTGTCTCAGCGGTCGAGTGTCCCTGAGTTCAATCGCTGGTACCACAAAAAAAAAAAAAACCAGAAATAGTAGGAAAATAAACCAGAAAATAATGAAGATGGTTAGAGAAAGGACTGCAATTTCTCATTTTTTTATTTTTTTATTTTTTGGTTTTTTTTTTTTTGGTAGTTGTGACTTTTGAATCATGTAAATATACTACAGGTTCAAAAAGTGAAATTAAATCTATAAGGAGGGGCTGGGGTTGTGGCTCAGCAGTAGAGCACTTGCCTCATATATGTGAAGCACTGGGTTATAGGAACCAGCTTATAAAGGCCATCAATGCCCAAATTTGGGACAAAATTATCAAAATGAATAAATGAAACTGACTAACATCATGAATACATAAAAATCCATAAGTCTCTAATGACAGTTATTTAAAAAGGAGAAAACATCTTCTCCAAAAAATAAAGTCATATATTATGGGTTAAATAATAGGATTAGAAAATCAATCTTTTGTAATACCTAATGTAATCACAGATCCTAGGCAGGATTATCAACAAATGCTAAAACCAATATATATTAGAGATTTACCTTATAAGTTATTCACTATTTGGAAAGGAGAAAATGTCCCTTTATAATGAAGAGATCTGGCCAATAACAAAATTATCACAATAAGACAATCTAACATCATGTGTCTCCTAATGTACTGCAATATGATATATATAAACACCACCTACAACTTGAATCTAATCAAGATTCTAGATCTAACTTATAGTTTACAGGAAACACTTGAAAACAGAGGAAGAAGTTAAGTGACTTTGAGAAAATAAGACAAAGTTAGAATGTAAGAAAATGTATAAGACAGTTGATTTGAACATTTCAAATCAATGACATGAAGAAAAAGCATAATGACTGTTACAGATTAAAAGTGACATAAAAATCAAAATATATAAACCTTGATTAGTTTACATTGGGAAAAAAAAGAAAACAGCTGTGAAAGCGAGGCACAGAGCTAAGTTAGGAGGATCACGTAAGCACAGGAGTTAGAAGTCAGCCTGTGCAACACAGTGAGACCTCATCTCAAAAAAAAAAAAAAMAAAAAACAGTTAAGGACAAGTGCAATGGCACATACCTATAATCCCACTGGCTCAGGAGGCTAAGGCAGGAGGACCACAAGTTCAAAGCCAGCCTCAGCAACTAAATGAAGCTCTAAGCAACTCAATGAGACCCTGTCTCTAATATTTAAAAAAAAAAAAAAAAATGCTGGAGATGTGGCTCAGTAGTTAAGTGTCCATGAGTTCAATCCTTGGTACCAAAAACAAAAGACAAAAATAGTTAAGGGCTAAGGTTGTAGCTCAGTGTTAGAGCACTTACCCTAGCATGTGTGAGGCACTGGGTTCAATTCTCAGCACCACATATAAACAAATAAATAAATAAAGGTCCATCAATAAAAATAAATAAATTAAATAAAAATACCATGTCCAGCTACAACTAAAAATATTTTTTAAAAAAAAGTTAAAAGAAGAGATTGGGGTTGTGACTCAGCAGTAGAGTGCTCACCTAGCACGGGCAAGGCCCTGGACTCAATCCTCAGCACCACATAAAAATAAATTAATTAATTAACAATATTGTATCCAACTACAACTAAAAAATATTTTTTAAAAAAGTTTAAAAAACCCTTAAGACGATCAATTTTATGTTTTGTACAGAGGTTGAGCATCTTAATCTGAAAAGTCAAAATCCAAAATGCTACAAAAATCTGAAACTTTTTGAGTAATGACATGATAATACAAGGAAAATTCTATACTTGGCCTTGTGTTACGTTTCAATCAAAACACGGATGCTTTAAAGACATTGCATAAAATTACCTCCAGATTATGTGTATAAGGTATATATGAAATGTAAATGAATTTCATATTTAAATTTTGGTCCCATCTCCAACATACCTCATTCTGTATTTGCAAATATTCCAAAATCCAAAACCCTTCTAGTCCCAAGCATTTCACATAAAGGATACTCAACATATATTTTACCACAATTTTTAAAAATTAGCATTAAACACAAAAAGAAGCTGAGTGTGGTGGCACACAGCTATAATCCAAGCTCCTCAGGAGGCTGAGGCAGAAGAAGCCCAAGTTAGAGGCTTAACTTGTCCCTGCCTTAAAACAAAGTATAAAAAGGGTTGGGGGTATAGCTCATCCCCAGCTCTGTAAAAGAAGAGAAGAAAATGAAGAAAGAACAAGAACAATAAGAAGCAAATTCTGACACATCCTGTAACATAATAAACTTTGAAAGCACTATGCTACTTGAAATAAAACAATCACAGACAAATATTGTATGATTCCACTTACATAAAGTACTTTAAAAAGTCAAATTCAGAGATAAAGTAGAATGGTGGTTGACAGGGCTAAGGGGAGGGAGAATGAGGAGTTATTGTTTAATGAGTACTGAGTTCCAATTTTGCAAGATAAAGAGTGCTGAGTCTCTAATGATATTCATTTAAAAAGGAGGAAACATATTCTCCAAAATGATGGTTGCACAACAATGTGAATATATGTAATGCCAAAGAACTGTACACTTAACAACAGTTAAAATGAGCTGGATGTGGTGGCCTAGGCCTAAAGTCTTAGCTACTCAGGAGTACCACTTCAACACAGAAGACCAGCCTGAGCAACACAGTGAGACCCCACCTCAAAAATAAATAAATAAATGATGGTGCATTCCTGTAATCCCAGAAATTTGAGAAGCTAAGGCAGAAGGATCACAAGTTTGAGACCAGCCTCAGCAACTTAGCAAGGCCCTAAGCAACTTAGTGAGACCCTGTCTCAAAAAATAAAAAGGACTGGGAATGTGTAGCTCAGTGGTAAATGCCCCTGGGTTAAATCCCCAGTACCAAAAAATAATAATAAAAAGAAGAATGTTAAGATGATAAGTATTTTACCATAAGAAAAAAGGAATCAGAACCGGATGATCTTAGAAATTCTTGGCTTCTCCAGATGGCAAAAGATACAAAAAATTAAGAGATTCACTATTGAGTAGGTATATTCTAAAGACCAAGCATGTGACTATACAATCTTTTGCTGAAACCTTAGAAACATGAAAAGGTCAGGGTATTCAGTCACACAAAGGGCTCTTTCAAGAGAGGAAGAGTGTGCCTCCCAGACCCTCTCAATGAACCAGAGGGCCTTTAGGAAGCTTAAAGGGATTGTCCCTCGGCCTTAGCAGCAGGAGACCAAGGTAGAGGATTTATCTTCAAAAGATTTGTATATGTGGCTTTTGTCTAACAGAATGAACCCCATTGCAATCCACAGAAGACCCACAAAGTTCTTGAGAAAATTATGTTGGCAGAAACACTGCCTGTTTGGACTGAAAGGGACAAAGAGTACAAAATGAAAGGGGGCTGTCAGACCCTCAAAATCCCACTGGCAGGAAGCAGGCAGGATAAAACTACACAGCTGCCAGCATGTGCTGCCTTTCAGGAAAAAAAGCAGGATGATTTCAAGGGTGGAGCCAATTACCCCAGGACTGGAACCTCTGGGCCTCCCATTCCTCCCACCTGGGAGGGTTTTCCATTGTCCACTCTGGCTTACAGTGCAAGTCAGGACTCTTCTCTTCCAGGAGCCCACTTTTTCTTTTTTATCTAAGATTCAACTTTGCTCCATCTTCCTTGTCCTATTACCAACCAAATGCTATCCCTTACCTACCTTAAAAAGTTTCTGGGAGTGTTTTATCATAAAAGCCATCCCATTGTTTAACTTCGWGATATTTTCCTGAAGGTCATTTGCAGTGACCTGTTCAGAGGAAAAGAGAACAAAGGGCGTTAACAGCTGGGAAGTACCATTTCCCAATAACATCCTTAACATGTACCTTTGTTATTTTATCTGTTTGCTCTTCTCAGGACCCCTTACATACTTATGTGTGTGATCATTTCTATCCCTAATAAAAGTAACTCTAAATACAATGTTTAATTCTATTAGTTCAGTAGCTTTCCACTGGATATAATCTAGAACAATCATATTTCCCTATAGTGACCAGGAAATTCATGAGAATCAATATTCATTTCCTAATTAGACATGAGAGCAAAGTTAAAGAAAATCCAGCCTAGGATTCAAAATGGGTAGGAAGAACATAACCCACAACAACCATCAAGGACACTGCCTCTTCAGAGAAACTGGAGTTTCTCTAAAAACAAAGGCGAACTCTCATTACTAACAGATACCAAAGATGACATCTTTTCCTTAAAAACATAGTCAAATTGTCATTGATTTCCATTCTGTCTCTGCTTCCTCTTTTTTTTTTTAAGTACTAAAGCACCTCTTCTATACCAAATCCCTAATCCTCAACATGTACCTTTGTTATTTTATCTGTTTGCTCTTCTGTGATAACCACAGTTTACTCTCTCCTTTCCCACAGTCTTGGTTACCTGGTTCTAATATTCTTCACTATGAGGCTAACTCTTTTAATATGGACAAGAGTTGGTATGTCCTGTCTTCCCCAACCCACCCAGAAGTTCTTTCTGGCCCAGAACTTTCTCTYATTTTGTTACTAGCTACTTGTCAGGTAAAACAACCTCTTTCCCTTACTTTTATTTTTCTCGTTTCCTATAATCTCAAACATCTTTTATAACGTGTTATAACACATCTATTTCTGTTGTCTTCCCAGCAACATTGTAAGGTAAGTGGAGAAACTACTATCATGCTCTGTTTACAAAGAAGGGGCCTAAGTACAGAAAATGATACAGGTAACATTAGTTGTTTATAGCTTCCAAGTGAGGTATCCTGGTTCACAATCCCATCATACAAAAAAAACATATACTACAAATGGAGAGAAATATAATTATGTGCCTTCAGATGAAATATTTGTTTAAAAGACTTCAGATAATTTAGTTCTTATTTAAGTCACTGAGAATATTGTGGTCTCAGTAAGAAGCAGCACATTCAACTGTATCCAAGGAAACTATATCTGTGGGAAACAGAAGGACAAGGCAAGATGATTGCTCTATGTGTCATTTTATATAAAGCTTGGTGACATTATCCAGTAAGATCACACAGCTCTATTCTAAATTTACAGAAATTAATCTGGTTTCCCAAGGAAGTTTTCTGAGTATTCTAGTTTATTAACTATAATTTTCCAGAATTTTCACTAGCAAGTTCTCACACAGGTTTATCAGAAATTGATTTATAAGCTACAGGAACTGTCCCCCCACCCCCGCAAGTTTGATAACTCTTGGGTGAAATGATAAAGCTCCTAACCTCATAAAGCTGAAGACTGGACCTTGGACCTTTGACAGCCTCATCAAGGTATGGCCACAGGATGAAGCCCAGCCCAAGAACACAAAGCAATCTTTATTCTTCCCCTTAAAACTCACATTTTTTGGCCATAGGACATGGGGTGCAAACATAAGGGCAAGGTTATAGGCAGACATCTTATTCTTGTCTTGCTTCTTCGCTGTCTGGTACAGGAGATCAAGCAATAACTTCAGTAAATTACGATTGGGTGGGGGAAGAATGAGGAAGAGCAACTGAAGAGCCTCAATCTGCCGCTCTTTATCTGGTATATTGGTCTTGTTTCCTTTATCATCAAACTGCATCAAATCTTAAAAATAAAAGTAAATATTAAAAAGGAGGGAGAAAATAAAAGCAAGAAAAACCAATACTATTACTATTATCCTCCCTTCAATTCCCAAAGGAGAAAAAAGAATCAAGCACAAACAAAATTTAAAAATTATAGTACCCTAGTATGTACAAAGCCTTGGGCTTGACTCCCGCCCTGGAGGGAGGGGGAGGATAGATTTTGCCAGGTAACTTCCAGTGCAACCATGGACATATTAATGTATTAATGGGCTAGGGATACATCTTATTAATAAAACACTAATGTGTGAGATAATGTATATTATCATTATTTCCATCAAAATAATGATAATATACAATATACATGCATTTGCATGTTCAGTATCATTAGCAATCAATAAATATAAATCAAAACCATAATGAGATACCACTCAACATCCACTAGGATGACTATAATCAAAAAGACTAACATTAACAAATGTTGGCAGAGAGAAAATTAAACCCTCCTACATTGCTGGTAAGAATGTAAAAYGGTATAACCACTCTTGAAAACATCTGGGCAGTACCTTAAAAAGTTAGAGCTATCATATATCCCAGCAATTCCATTCCTAGGTACATACCAAGGAAAAATGAAAACATGTCCACACATGCCTTTACAATGCTACTCCTCCCCTTTTCCTCCTCAAATATTTTATGGTTAAAATAAAAATCAGAGTGAATAACAGGATGATCCAAGMAGCTCCTCATGGGGTCAAAACCATATGTCTTCTCTAATAGGCTACACAGGTTATCTTATTTTTGGTACTGGGGATAGAACCTAGGGRTGCTTTACACTAAGCTACATCCCTAGTCCTGTTAGGATATCAATAAGTAGCTCAAACTTGCAATCCTCCTGCCTTAGCCTCTGGGATTACAAGGATGTATCACTGAGCCTGGCTGCAACATAGGTTATCAATAAAAACAATCCCCTGCATAATCAGAATTTCAAAGAATACTAACAACCATTTAGGTATAACTTATATGGACCAGAAAATTATTTCAGTGTGTTAAATTGTTTAAACTAAATAATAATTTCAGGAAAGGCAGATAATATTTATAGAAAATACATTCAGTTAATATGAAATTGAAAACGAAAATTCTTCCAGGTATCAGCAAGGCATATCAAATGCTGCAACAGGGCCACACCTTAAAATATTTTCTAGGAACAATGATTCATGGGTCAGTGAAGTGGAGGATTTCAAAAACTGCACTAAATGAACGAAACTCAATAGGAAAGCAAATGAAAATAAGCATCCTTATGTTAACACACAAAAAAGAATTTATTAGTATCTTCTAAATCTTTTCCAAAGCTCTAACAAGTTTATTTCCCCCCATATTAAGGGTAAAATCACATAACATTCTAGCAGAATTACTCACTCGATCATCTAGATTGCTAGTAAAAGTGCTTTTAAAAAGATCTAATCTGAGCTGGGTGCAGTGGCAGATGTCTATAATCCCGGCAGCTCAGGAAACTGAGACAGGAAGACTGCAAGTTCAAAGCCAGCCTCAGCAACTTAATGAGCCTTAAGCAACTCAGCAAGACCTGTCTCTAAATAAAATATAAAAAAAGGGCTGGGGGTGTGGCTCAGTGGTAAAGCACCCCTGATTTCAATCCCAGTACCAAAAAAAAAGAAGGGAAAGAAATGCTCAAGGGCAGAAAACTAAGTAAATGCTCCATGGATTTTGATACTATGTATACTCAGAGCCTATGGCAACATAATAGCTGTGCAATTAAAGAATGAATTCCCTACCACAAAATCATAAAGAAGGAGGCAACCATTTGTGAGGTAAAAATAGAACATTCTCCAAGATACATTAAGTGAAAAMAAGCAAACCACTGAACCATGTGTGTAATACCCTACCATTCCATAAAAAGGGAGGAATATATGTAAGTGTTGTAAGTGTACAAAATATCTCTGGAAGACTACATTAAAAATCAACAGGACTGGTTGTCTCTGGGAAGAACTGGGTGCTAGGGAACAAGAGTGGGAAAGAGGCTTTTAATTGTTTATTTTTTTGAATCTTTTAAATTTTGAACTATGTGAATATATTGCCTATTCAGAAAACAAATGAAATTATTTTTAAAAAGCAAATTTGTGGGGCTGGGGCTATAGCTCAGTGGTAGAGTGCTTACCTCCCACATATGAGGCACTGGGTTCAATCCTCAGCACCACATAAAAATAAATAAATAAAGATATTGTGTCTATCTACAGCTAAAAAAAAAAAAACAACACAAATTGTAAGTGTAGACAATCTCAACTGAGGAATAGACATATTAGCCAAAACAAGGCAAACATACCAAATCTATAACTAAATGAGTTGTGTGAACCCCATGAATTCATGCAATATAATACAATACAATGAAAAGCATTTATTTTTTGAGCAACTAAAACATTCAAAGCACTATACTAGGCTTCCAGACCTTACCTTATTGTCAGTGTCTTATCTTAATCAGAAGCTTAATTATCAAGAAAAAAATTAACTAAATCAAACTTAACTGGTCAATACTTAAGAGTACCCCAAGAAGTCCAGCGATATAACAAAGTTTTAACCAATATCAGCAGAAATACTACAGTGGGTTACAAGTCACAAAACCCCAAAGAATTTTACTAAATTCAAAGATATGTATTTACATCTCCTTCTCATTTTCTATACTCACCAGCAATTTTGAGGTGTGCATGGAAATGTTTATGGGTCAACAGGGGCTCTGGTAACTCTCCTAGAAACATCTTCAGCAAAGTGGCAACATCATTTGAATGAAATTCCCCTGATTCCAAGTCAATATCAGTTCCATTATTGAGAGCATCCCTTAAAACCTGCTGTCGGACACTATTGCCTGGTACTCTAAACAATCCCTCTACTCGCAAGTCTGCTTAGCATGGAAGCAAACAGGTAAAAAGAAAGCAAAAAGAGAATTTTTTATTAATTCATATAACCTAAGTAATTTTTTTTCATTTAAAAGACCCTTTATAAAGCTCTTAAAAGAGATTTTGCCTTTTTTTTTTTCTAGAGAAGTTTGGAACCCACTGGCCCCTCTGAGGAGACATATATGGATGTCCCTGAGCACCTGGAGATCACCTAAACTGAATGTTTCTGTTAAGAACCACTCACCCTTCTACAGTACTTTATAGAGACTCTGGATTTAACCAAGTCAATGATCAGAATGAGCTTGGAAAATAAAAAGAAAGAAAAACCAAATCTCCCTGAGAACCCCTTCCCTCTGGTTCTTCCCATACTCCGGAGGGGTTAAGTTCCTCGGTAGAGGTTTGTTGCTGCTTAAACTGATTTCTCCAGTCCAGAATAAACCTAGAGACTCTGGGTTGGTCCAGGAACCAGAACTCTTAACACATTAGATCACCTTTCAGTCTAGGAGATTCCCAGAAGCTTAGGGTCATCTCAAATAAACTATTCTTCCCTTCTAACTAGGTTCTATGCTTATCTAAGGAGATATTAAAAGGGTAGGGGGAAGACATATAGTTTTGGCTTGATCTGGAARAAGGATGTCCACGTTTTACTTTTACATAACCTCCTTATTCAGGAGTCTGAGTTCACATGCCTTCAGGGCCAGGCAGGTAATGATCAAGGACCAAACAGGACCATAACAAACTGGAGAACATCTCTGTGCTCCATCTGATTGTGTCCACGTGGCAATGGGGCCCAAGGATGCTATATCTTCCTAACACCCAAAGAAATTGAAAACCTGGATTCTCCCCATTTTAAAACATCAATAACTAATTTTATTTTTAATCTAATCCTTTGCCAACAAGTAAAACATAAATATAGATGACTTAAACTCAAGCTGCTAGTTTGTAACCTGTGTTCTAACTCCTAGCACAATGTCCCATCATAGAATAAGTTATAAATAAGCATTTGGGTTGATTAAGAAGACATGTTGAATTTATCAAGACATCATATAATGCCATATATTTCACACATTCTCAGCTGTACCAAGCACTTAGAGCAATGACATCAACAGCATGACTCCTAAAAAATGAAATGTAGGGCTGGGAATGTAGCCTAGTGGTACAGTGCTTGCATAGCGAGCATGAGGCCCTGGGTTCAAGCCCCAGTACTGCAAAGAAAGAAGAGAAGGAAGGAATGGAGGGAGGAGAGGGGAAATTAMGTGAAGAATATTAATCATGGAATTCTGAAAATGAAAGATGAAAAAATACCATGCTCCCTTAAATAAATGATTCTTTAGAGACAATGAATTCTTTTTTTTTTTAATTTTAATATTTATTTTTTAGTTTTTGGCGGACACAACAGCTTTGTTGGTATGTGGTGCTGAGGATCGAACCTGGGCCGCACGCATGCCAGGTGAGCGCGCTATCGCTTGAGCCACATCCCCAGCCCCGACAATGAATTCTTTAAAAAAGAAATATCTGAGTAAAGGGGGAAATGTAATTTCATAGGCACTATGCAATTAATATACATCTCTGAGAATATATGGCAAATCAATACATAAGATGAAATTTAAAAGGAAATATACTTAAAAATCTGCCACCTGAAATTAATTATTACTGGTTATTTCTTTTTTTGAGTTAACTGGCATCTACAAAGCTCAAGGCAGTTAGATCTCAATGAAAAACTTACAAGTCCTCATTTAACAAAGAACAATAAAACTTGAAGTAGTCTTACTTTTGTGCAGATATTCAATCAGTTGGTATATCTGGGCAATGCCTTCCTCTGTCAGTGGGGATCCAAATACCACTCCTTTTTCTGTAAAACCGTATGCAGGATAGGGCTATATTTCACATAAATAGTATAAAACCATCATACTTAAAACTACTCTAGCAGCACATTTCACAGTTCAGCAAATGTTTTCAAAGGGTCAGCAAAAAAAAAAGTTTAGCAATGGAAGTGTGTGTACCACAAAACACAATCAGATCAATTTTCAACCACTTCTCTCAAGCTCAGTATTAGACTGTAGATTCCTTGAAGGCAAAGACCATTTTCGTATTTAAATAACAATACCTAGCATGTYACTATTTAATTTAAAAACAAACCAAAAAGAACTTAAACTATGATTGATTATCCACTGGAGTTGCTACAGGATTGGATATATTAATGCTTAAGCATTTTTCTACCTTAATGATTCCTTTTATTTAATAAAATGCCACCTCTTTCATGTGTTATCAAAAGCTGTGCTGGGGTTGTAGCTCCGTGGCAGAGCACTTGCCTAGCACATGTGAGGCACTGGGTTCAATCCTCAGCACCACATACAAATAAATAAAAAAAGGTATTATGTCCAATACAACTAAAAAAAAAATGTTCTATTATTTATTTATTTATTTACGGGAAAGGCTCTTTTTGGGTGATTTATAGGTACCTGCTTTATAAAAGCATTCCATAGAATGAAAACATTTGAGAAATACTGTAATAAAAAATGCCCAGGCTGAGGCTAGAGTTGTGGCCCAGTGGTAGAGCACTCACCTGCCATGCGTGAGGCACTGGGTTTAATCCTCAGCACCACATAAAAATAAATAAAGGTATTATGTCCACTTACAACTAAAAATATATACATTTTTAAAAATGTACAGGCTTTCTTTACTCTTTAGCTATGTAAGTTTTTTAGTTGTTTTTTGAATATTATTTTAATATTTTTTAACATTTATTTTTTTAGTTGTAGTTGGGCACAATACCTTTATTTTAATTTATTTTTATGTGGTGCTGAGGAACACAGGGCCTCCCACATGCTAGGCAAGCACTCTACCGCTGAGCCACAACCCCAGCCCTAAAATTATTAATATAATAATTATACCCCTGGAGTTATGCACACTAGGAGGATTATTTGAGCCCAGGAGTTTGATGCCAGCCAAGATATCATTTCAAAAATTTTTTAAAAATCTGGAAAATTAAATATTACTTTAGTACACTATTAATGTAGCCTAAAAATTAAGATGACCCTGATAACTACCTAACTAATCATGTCATCTCACAGGGTTGAATATATTTCCTTTAATTATTTCTTTACCTAGTTTTTGTAATTTTTATTACCAGTACTTAACATTCTCTACTTAAGAAAATGAGAAAAAATTACCAATTTTTTGGGTTAATTATAACTTCTCAGTGAATATTCAGATGTTAGAAGTGAAGCCAAGAGAAGACTGGGCATGGTGGGGCACACCCTATAGTCCCAGCACTCAGGAGGATCACTCCAGAAGTTCAAGTTGTGCCTGGGCAACACAGACAGACCTTGTCTCAAAGGAAAAAAAAAAAAAAAAAGCAAAAAGCCTGAGGAGCCACTGAGAACTGCCCACCCTTCACAAACACATCTCCTACCCTTCCGCTTGAGAGACATTAGAGACCGGAAAAATCCTGATGCTGGGCCGGCCCCACCAGGCAACTTAAGGTCCACTTCCCCCATCAGCTGAGCCAACTCCGTTCCAGGTAAATCAATAAGCCTTGTGATATTGCTGACCACCAACTCCGTAAACACCTCAGGTTTCTCATGTCGAAGTTTCTCSACAAAAAAGTCAGGATTGAAGATAATGGGTTGACCTCGAAGGGAAGAATCATTGCAGATGATAAAATTACAGATGGCATCACTGAAAAAAGAAAAAAATGAGGAATCTTTTTGGGGAGATCATTTTATGCCCCACCTGAGGGGCTATTTGGTTCCTGAGTCCACACACAGGCTGAGGTTTCCCAACTGCCCTCTCTCTAATTGAGCCAACTGCTCTTATAGTCAGTTCCTCACAACAAGTTTTCATAGTCCTCCCTCYTCCAGTCATAACTGCTCCAGGAGCAGCAGCTGACGGTGCTGACATGGCTAAGTCCAAGAACCACACCATGCACAACCAGTCCCTAAAATGGCACAGAAATGGCATCAAGAACTCCCAAGATATAACTCTCTTAAAGGGGTAGACCCCAAGTTCCTGAAAAATATGTGTTTTGTCAAGAAGCACAACAACAAGGGCCTGAAAACAATGTAGGCAAACAAGGCCACAAACACACATGCCCAAGGCTATCAAAGTCCTTGTGAAGCTTGAGGAGGTTAAGCCCAAGATGTGAAAGGGTGCCAGCTACAAGCCTGATTGCCTTGCCTTCTTTGCCCATCCCAAGCTCAGGAAGTGTGTTCACCATGCCCACAGGGCTCAGGGTTGCAGGATCTGCCAGCCAAAGGCCAAAACCTAAGCCCAAGCTAAGACCCAGGGCTGCAACTCCCAGCTCTAGTATCAGCTCCTGCTCCAGCTCCTGCTCCTGCTCCTGCTCCCACTCCCAAAGGTGGGAGTTATCTGCAGACTCCAAGGATGCCCAGGCCCCTGCAAAGGTTCCATAGTAAAAGCTTCTATCCTCAAATGTGAGGACAGAGGACTGGTGTGCCTCTGGGCCCCTGTTTGTAGGGGACTGGTTTTCTCCTGTGCTGTTTGTACAAATAAATTCAGAGGTCGGAAAAAAAAATTTCATAATTACAGGTAGATGAAATAGATATTCAGTTTTGTTCAGATCGAAAATTAGGTGTTTTTTTAAAATTTACGCACATATGTATGTACTTAGCAGCACTGGGGATTGAACCGAGGGCCTCAGCATGCTAGATATACACTCTACCACAGCTATAACTTTAGCCCAGTTTTATTTTAAAATTGTTCGGTTCTGGATGCCTTTGACATATCCATCACCTAAGTCTTACCTTTGCACAGAAAGTTTCTTCTCCCTAGGGTCCCTATACTGGTTTTCTACTCCCACGTTACATTTGACTCTACTCCTGGCATAGCTCCTTTGACTCTCAAAAATATTTTCTTCTCTGTTCTTTGTTTTCCAATGCCTAACTATTGAATCTTTTTTTACTTCTAATATGTTACACTTAAGAACTGTATCAGGTTAATGTGGTGATGCATTCTTATAATCCCAACTATCAAGAAGCAGAGGCAAGAAGACCACAARTTCAAGGCCATTCAAGGCAATTTAGTGAGACCCTGTCCCAAGATAAAAAATTTAAAAGGACTGGGGATATAACTCAGGAGTAAAGCACCCATGAGTTCAATTCTCAGTATTAAAAAAAAAAAAAAAAAAAAAAAAAAAAAACTTTAAAAATTTCAAACTTAAAAAGAACTGGGGATAAAGTTAAATCCCTAATACCACTAAAAGAAGAAAAGAACTATATTATTCCATCTCTATTAGCAGAAATATTGTTTATTCCCATCATTAATTGACTCTAATGGCTTGTTCTAATCCTTATTATACATTATGCAGTCATCTATTATATAACCAATGAATAGATAAAACACAAGCCAGAAAGAACAAGTTATCACATCTTATTCAGGCAAAGTTAAATTCACCTGACTCATATAAACATTTCACAATAAAAACAATCACAATTTAAAAGTTGTTCACTACATCATAGGTACTAAAGCAGTATTCCAGAAAAAAATGACATCTCTAAATATTAATTTAACTAAATATTAATTTAACTAATCAATAATACACTTTAGCAACACTACACAGATAATTTTAATAACAGTATAATGAAAACAAGGCATGAGTAAATTTTTTTTTTAAGAGAGAGCGAGAGAGAGAGAGAGAGAATTTTTAATATTTATTTTTCAGTTTTTTTCGGTGGACACAACATCTTTATTATTTTATTTTATGTGGTGCTGAGGATCGAACCCAGTGCCCCTCGAATGCCAGGCAAGCGCGTTATGGCTTGAGCCACATCCCCAGCCCAAGGCATGAGTAAATTTCAAAGTTCACCTCTACTTACTTGAAAAGTATTAAACCTTTTTTTTTTTTTTTTTGGTACTGGGGATTAAACCCAGGGGCATTCAACCACTGAGCCATAGCCCCAACCCTATTTTGTATTTTATTTAGARACAGGGTCTCAATGAGTTGCTTAGTGCCTCACTTTTGCTGAGGCTGGCTTTGAACTCGTGATCCTCCTGCCTCAGCCTCCCAGCTGCTGGCATTACAGGCATACGCCACCACATCCAGCAGTATTAACTCATTTTAATCAACAGACCAAATTTTCAGTTGGTGGCTGGTAGATTCTTTCTTTGCTCTATAATTATAATGTATTCTGAGAAATCGCATGAAAATTTAATGGCAGGGTGTGGTAGCATCCCACTATAATCCCAGCAACTCATGACTAGGCTAAGGCAAAAGGATTGCAAATTCCAGGCCAGACTTTGAGTCAGGGCAATTTAGCAAAACCCTGTCTCAAAATAAAAAGGGATAGGGATGTAGCTCAGTGGTAAAGGGCCCTGGCCCCAAACCGCCCCCCCCCAAAAAAAAAAAAGTAGAAATACGAATGTGTGTTCCAAAGCCAAAAAGTCACTCAGAGAGGAATTTGGAAAGCTTATCCCCTCAACCATTTTACACACTAACACAGGTTATTTTTCCTGAATAAACTTAAAGATGCCAATGATATAATATAAGCCAATCAGAATCAGAAGCACTTCCACCTTAAACCTTTGACTAGAGACTTTTTTTTTTTTTTGTCTTGTGAATACTAGGGATGGAACCCAGGAGTGCTCTACCACAGGCATTTTAAGCTAGTCAAATTTAGCAGTAGGGAACCATTTTTTAAGACAGATTCTCACTAAATTGCTACAGCTGATCACAAATTTGGGATTCTCTTGCCTTGGCCTCCCAAGTAGCTGGGATTACTGGGATTACAGGTGAGTGCTTCAGCACCTGGCCAATAAAAGTGGGAAGGGGGAGGCTGCTTTTTTTGTGATATATATATACATACTGGAGATTGAACCAGAGGCACTTACCCACTTAAGCTACATTCCCAGCTCTTTTTATTTTTCTTATTTTGAGACAGGGTCTCACTAAGAAGTTGCTTAGAGCCTCTCTTAAGTTTCTGAGGCTGGCTTTGAATGTAGGATCCTCATGCCTCAGCCAACCAAACTGCTGGGATTATAGGATGCGCCACCACACCTGGCACAAGAGCCTTTCTTTCTTTTTTTTTTTTTAATGTCAGTATTTCAGGCAGGAAACAAGAGTCAATATAGAACTATTATTTATAATCACTGCCAATGAGAAATCAGCACTTACTGAGAAGTCAAAAAAATCATGAAATGTGTAAGTACCAAAGAGAAACATAATTTATAGAGCCTAAACTAATCATTTATGAAATTTTAAAAGAATACCTTTTAATTCTGAATAACTAATTTCAAATCAAATTAGTTCTAACATATAACCGTTTATGAACAATATCCATTATATTCGTGAAGTAAAAGCACATATACACATAAAAACTACAGAATTTTATTAATTTTATTAATGTCCAAAGCATGATCTGTTAAGACTTTAAAACTTTTATCACAGCTGACTCTTCCAGCACTAAATTGGATCAAGTACTCAAGAAAGAAAGGAGCTAGAAGCACAAAGCCCCTAGCTAGAGAGTTTCTCAACAGAGTCCTTCCTACCTGGCCATCAACCCTGAGACTCCCTCCTGAACAACCTGAACAGGTAGAAAGAGAGTCCAGGCTGCCCCTAGCTATCTGCAAGAAATACAAGAAAAAGACACGTTGGAAGTCCTAACACATAAAGAACAAATAAACAATCTCCTTTCTTTTCCCTTCTGCCTCCCAAGTTTATTACTCTTGTTATTTGTTACGATACACTTAAATTTTTCATTAAGCTAGTTTTTTGTTTGTTTTACCTCTTTCTCACTTTTTTCATTGTAGTATAAGACAGTACCTAAGACATGGAAATGATTTTAAAAGAAGGAAAAAGGAAGATAAGAGATGGATATTATTTTTAAAAAGTTAACCCATATGAAAAAGCCCACTAATACCCTTCTAAACAATATGCAATGCCACAAAAAGCTAAGAATATAAAGGAACACTATTCAAGAACTTCAGAGATTTCTATGACTACAGAAAATATAATATTTAAGCAAATTTAAGCAAAAACAACTCCTTATTCTAAAATATTTTAAAACAAACTCCAAGTTTGCTCCAAATTCAAGAAAAATAAAATAAATTTCTTACATAAATGCTGAAAGCTTCTGATGAGGCATTGGTAAATCGAAGAGACAGGAAAAAAGCTTTCTCCTTGTCTGTGTGACAAAGGAACTCTCCTTTCCCTGCCCCAGCACAGCCTACACAAATTCCAGACATGCTAGACAACACAAGGACACATTATGGGGTCTGAAAAGCAGTACTTATTAGGACTCTGAGCACTCTTTTGCAAGTAGGAACAAAACAGGAATAAAAAACTGGACCAGTTAACTGTATTTGCCAACACACACATAAAGCTCAACAGGAGACTCCCATCACCACTCAAAGTTGTATTACATGAAACAATTACATAATGTAAGAGCATAGAAGGAACAGTTTTACAATATATGGGGAGGGTTGATCCCTACCTCATATCATACACAAAAAATAAATTTCAAACAGAATAAAGATGTAACTATGAGAAGCCAAACTTTTAAAACTCTAGATCAGTAATTTATTTGCTCTTTTGCAGTGCTGAGGCTCAAATCCAGGGCCTCAGAAGTGCTAGACAAGTGCTCTACCACTAAGCTACCTCTCCAGCCCTAAAGACAGTATTTAACAATAAATTAGCCAGGTGCAATGGCACATGCTTACAATTC